TTTTTTGTCATTGAAAACAAAGAAATCGTAAATACACAGAAATATGTACAATTTCATGTTTCACCTTTTTAACCTGTTGTCATTAAAACTTAAGAGAACGGTAGATTTACGATTTTATCCGGTGGTATTCTTTTAGAAACTACTAGGAAGTTTCAGTAATTAAAGGAATTGCCATCGTTTTTTTATATACATATCAATGTACTTTATTGTCGAGAAAAAGACGCTATCTTTTCAAATGAAAGCAATTTCTGAAAGTTATCAGTAATTTTCAAAATTACTCATATTTTGGAGGATAAGATCTTGTTCTCCTTAGAAAAATACACTGATATTCTTTGAGAATCTCTATATCGTAATTTCGGTATCTGTTGAAGTTGACTACCTGTTTTGTAGTAATTACTGAAGTTCAGCCAATTTTTTGCTTGAATTTTCGTCATGATGTATTGTTTGAAAAATTTTCATTTTTTTCGATTACTTATTTTCGAAACTATTTGAAAGTTACTGAGTGCTATAAGAGAAACTTAAGAATTCTCCTACTAATTTTCTTGTGATGTAGAAGTAAATACTGCAATTTCTGATCAATTTACTTCTGCTGTTTTTGATAACTGCAAGAAACTTACTCCAAACTACAGTACGTTCTAGGCAATGGTTTCAATTACTTGAACGGAAACTATGGTAACTGTTGAACTTTCTTGTTGATATTATTTGTCATGAAAATATTTTCCTTTTTGAAAAACTTACACATTGGTACTAAAGAAGTTCATTTTTGCTTTGACTAATAACAATGTAACTCTTTCGATTGATTTCATTGTTACCGAATGTATTTAGCTTATCTTGAATAATCAAGACAATGTCGAATGTCTTTGAAAAGATCAAAACGTAATCTCTCGAAAATCAATTTGGTTTCTACAATACGATAGAATATCTATCGACCTTTGGTTCATACTATACAGTAATAAAATAACCTGATTATTGATAAATTATACGATCATTCAAAGACTTTAGTTTTTGACTTTCATAGAATAAATAACAATTTGAATGAGTTTTATTTGCTTTCCATTAAGGTCGATTTAAATAAAGAAGATTGATTCAATCCATATGACGAATATTTATTGGAATACAAAGCAGTTAACTTTTTTTGACAGCACATAAAAATGCTATATCAATCAACAGGAGTGTGTTCTTATCTTGAAAACTATCATTTTTCTGTAGCAGAGTTCCATTTTCATTGTTTTCTTTTGTGCTAACTGATTCCTCAAGAAAAGTTCAACTTTAGCAAAAATCCAAGTGGAAAAAGCAGACTTCTGTACCTTTAGACTTCTTCATACATCTCAATACTTTTCAATACTTCTTTATGCTTCTTCATATTTCCCTAGACTTTTTGCATTTCTTCATACTTCTTTGTAATTCGCTACATCTCTTCATGTTTCTTGACATGTATATACGATTCTATTTCGTTTTTAGGCATGTCTTTCATTTCAGAGATGAAAGAAAGCTAAAGTCAGTTTCTACTTATAATGTAGCTATTGATTCAAAAAAAAACAAATAACGAAAATGAGATTTACAATCGAAAACAAAGTACCAGTCTTTTTTTTCATTTTTTTTCTTTTTCGCTAGCATTTTCAAAGAGAAAAAAGATTTCAACTTATCTTTTTCTCATAATAACGATTACAACACAACAGAAAGCAGACGTAGAAAGTGAAAAGATAGTTATTATTAGTATGATTAAAAAAAAGAGCTAATACTAAACACTAAACAGAAATAAATGCTAATATTCATTAAAAAAACCACAGTCATTGCATGGTAACAAAATCGCTAATGTAAAAATAGCATATGAAATGAATTTAACTAACCTATCATGAAAATGAAATAGACGAAGTTAATCTGGATGTTACTTATTCTCTTACGGTTTTGTTTAGTTTTGCTGTTGAATAAATATGTTCAACTAACAAAAACTATCTCATCTTACTGTTAAAATTCATATACTTCACGATACGTCTGTACTTGAGAAGTACAGAACTTCTGTATTTTTTCCCTTACAAAAGTTTCCCTATTAGCCTCTTGAACTCTCGCTCTCTTTAAATCCTATCGACCTTGAGACACCACTACGAATCGATTATTTAATTATCAAAAGATCGACATTCTTTTATATCTTTAACTTTTTCTTCATATTAAGATTTTTTATACAATAGATTACTTAAAACTTGGATTCTCATTACCATGAAACCAACGAAATAGACTTTTTTTTTATTTCAAAGTAACAATAAAAACAAACGAGAAATACACTTAAAAACTCCTAAACGCTCATAACTGAACAAGAAATGAACTAATGGAAAAAAAAAACAAAAGAAAAAAAAGAATAAGATACGGAAAGAAGAAACAAAACAGACCAATAGTTGATATTTTTTGAGAGAAATAATATAAGTTAATTAAAGAATCCAATATTTCTTTCGTTTTATACAACTCTGCGAACTTCAAAAAATCGTTTAAGATAATAAACTTGACCAAAGGCCATAGCTAAAAGAATAAATGCTTCAAAACATGACCACATAACCACACGAGAATTAGTATTTTCATTAACTTAATAAAAAAAAAAAGAAAAAGAATAATTATATCTTTCGAAAATATTTAAAAAAACAAAAGAAGAAATTTACTTGCACGATGAATACGTTCTCTAACTTCCATAAATTCTTGTTCATGTTTAACATTAGTTAATGAAGCAGATAATTCAGCAACTAATTCTTCAAGTTTATTATGATGAACTAAAAAAATAATCATGCAATTCATTTATTTTATTTTTTTTTTCATACAAAAGAAAAAGATGAAATTCATTTACGTGTAATATTTTCGCCTGTCGCACCACCAGCCATATCAAGTTTAGGTGCATCACCAACTTCCATTGTAAACATAACCATTTTTGGTGTCATTGTTGACATTCTATTACTGAAACATAATGTATAAGTACCTAAATATTGAAAAATATATATAAAAATACGAATAATAATTTTTTTAAATTTACCATCCATATGAGCTGAAAACGTTGTTTTTCCACTAGATTCTCGATCACCACGATAGATTTCCTTTTGATCAGGTCCATTTATCTATAAAATAAACAAAAACTTATAGAAATAAATGAACAAAATAAAGCAAACATTTACTTTGACATCAATATCAAGAAAACCACCTTCGATTACTTCAAATGTTAATAATAATTTCGTACCAGATGTTAATTTTTCAAAAAAACATTCATCTGAATGTGCATCAACTACTATATAATATCCAAGTGTATACTTCAAGGATATAAAACTAATAAATGATACGAATAGAATTGAATTCCAAGCCATCTAAAATTCTAAAAATTTTCTTTTATTATTATTATTAAGTGAAAAGTTACGAATGTATCTTTGTTCTTTGCATCAGTGATTATCTATAGTGATTATAATTGGGCCACTGTGTCAATTAAGATTAACCAATCATGTAATTTATTTATTACTTCGTCATCATCTGTTGATTTTTCGAACGAAATAAACTATTATGTTATTAATTATAGGTTATTAGTTAAGTTAAATAGAAAGAAAATAATAAAAAATACATTTAATTAGTTTTTTAGATTACTTATTTTCAGTAAGTAATCATTTGTTTATCAATGCAACCAATAGAAATCAGATTTCAATGTGTAGCAGAGAAGCAACAGCTGTAGACAGTTGTAGTAAAATTTAAGTCACTTGGTACTAGTGTACAGAATTCAATATGCACTTGCTTTTAGAATTTCTCAAACATAAGAAGAATATCGAGATGAGACGATGTAGTTTTCTCGGTTGATCTTTGTACATGGAAAGTTTAAAAGATGCAACATAAATGAAATACCTTAGAGGTTAGAAGGTGAGTGTGAAGTTTTCTTGAAAATATTTAACTTATGAATATTGTCCCTTTACATCCTAATTGTTATGTTTTTTACATTATCATGATGGACTTTACCAATAGAAGATATGATAGAATAAATAACTCAGAGCTTCTGACTTTATTATCAATCATATGCATGTTTCAATAGTAGATGCTTATTTCTAATGAATTATCTTGAACCATGTAGTATTTAAGTGTCATACTTTATGCAAATAATTGAAACATATTTAAGGATATCTTGTACAATTTTGTAGTGAAAATAATATTCTTCAGTTGAGTTTTGAGTACGTTTGGAAAAGTCTCGAACTCGAAAAGTAACTCTCAATCATAAATTAAGTGTATGTCAGAAACTATTTAGTAGCTAATACTTTAGTTTCATTTGCAAGATAGACTGAGAATCAGGACTTCCGAGAATTGTCTAGTAAATGTAATGCATCGTTTATATCTTACGAACACTCTAGGAAAAGAGATCTAAACTTATTAGATGATCAATATTTGCTGAGAATAATGATTGCACAAATTTAGAAACCTTAAACTATTATGATCGAGTAATGATATTGAACGAATTAAAAAGTCTTAAATATTTTCTCTGTTATGCAAAATGTTTATATCTATCAGACTACTCATAATCTTTCAATTATATAAAAAAATGTCATAATATATATTGTAGAAAGTCTTGACATATATTTGAATAACTTAGTGCATTGAACAATATTTATAAATAAACGTATTATTCAAAATTCATTGATTTTTGTAAATAGAAAATATGCATCCGATAAAACTGGATGACAATGAATCACACTAGTGCATTAATGTTTATCATTTCACTTTTCAAAGTTAATATCATGTGTATTTTTTTATGAAGTTTGATATGAACATCATCATTCAATGATAACAAAAATTATGAAGTGAATTATTTTGACTAACCTGTGTCGCAATCACTATGAAAAACGATTATTGGGTTCGTTAAATTGGAAAAACGAAAAGAAAACTCATAACTGTTTGTTTATTTTCACTGATTGCATGTTAATTGGATTTTTTTTCTCAAAAAAAAAAAAATAGAAGATTATGATTTATAAATCATTTGTCGACTAATGATGATCTATCATAGAGACAACAGTCATGGAATAAAATATCTATTAATGTTTAGATTGCATGAAAATTCCTTTGACATTTGTTATCAACTAATAAGAAACAAATTCTGTTTACAGATTTTTACATAAAATTTGTGTCCTACTGCATATGTTTCTCATGCTAAGCAGAATGATTCAAACAATGTTTTCTAAGAATGAAATTTTTTTGCAAATTTCTCAAGTTAAATGACTGTCGTAAAATTAGTTTGTACTAATCTCTAATCCCTTCATAAATTTAAATATATATTAACTGTGACAATGCGTAAATCGTCAACTATTTAATTGATCGTAAACGAAATCATGAACATGGTATGAAGTACAGCATTGAAAACATTCGTTAATACATGAGATAAAAATATCGAAATTTCGAATTAATATCATGCGTTATTCAATTATCAATGGAAACTTCACATATATAATAAAACGATCAAATGGTAGTGTTCTTGAGAAAAATTGTATATAACGATGTAATGCAAAAGTTCTTGAAAATGAAATGTCACTTCATTTTTCATCGGCTAAAAAATATTTTCGAAAAATCAAAAAAGCCTATTTAGAATCTACGTTGAATTTCTCGAAACATGTTTTAGTAATGAAAACCGCAACAGGATTGTTCAAAGAACTTTTGCATTATCTATTTATGAATTAATCGAGTTTTCATAATAATAAATTTCGCACTGATCAAAATGTAACTTTTCTTGATGACATCGACAAAAAAAGAAAACCTCTGATTTCATTAAACTATAAATATCAGTTTGAGAGAAGGTTTTTAGAATTAACAATTACTCATTAGTTGACATTTAAAGTTTTTTCGCATGATATTTTATACTTCAATATTTACTTGATTGCCATTTGATTATAATTATTATGTTTCTATGAAACGTTACGGCAATATTAACTTAGATAATCAACATCACTACTTTATTTAGTTTGTGGTTTCATGTATTTCAATCAATCAACTAACAAATGTTGATGTCAAGTATCAACAAAAAAAAGAGTGCAAAATGTATGTGTTTTTTTTCGTACTATGAAATATTTCTTTATGTTTATGTTTATCGCCACACCAAACAATAACAAGTAAAAGTACATAGCTGTTTTTCTCAAGTCATATACTTTTGTAAATCAAATGACAAAATTTATTTTGTACATCAACATACATATAGTATAAGTATTTTTAAGTTGATGTTTTATAGAAGAAAGAAAAAATAATTTTCCTATATTTTTACGGATGAATAAAATACGTACAAATCGTTTCTTTTAAAGACTCATATTATAAATGTACCTATCAATAATTGAATTCGTATTTCCAAACAAGAATAGTTTTTTTTCTATAGGAATATCCCAAGTGTAAATGAGGAGCCGTGTGAATCTTAAAATTTTTTCGTTTCTTTTTGTTAATCAATTCCCAAAACAAAAATTCGCGGCCTTCTTCTCTCACCTTGGTTCGATCAGCTTTAGCAAACATCATCTGATCGAACATTTGAGTCATCGACATGACCTCGAGACACCTATACTTCGTCGTTTCAGTACGAACATCATATGTTTGTCGCTATGTGGCCATATTAATGATAACAATAAATCCTCTGTTAGAAATACTGTTTATTGGTAACTGAACTGAACCAATCAAGTTGGCTTTTTTCTTTCCGGGGCAGTCGAATAGATGAAATGAATGATCCTTTCGATTGATATTTGAATAGATTTCCAAGGTTAATAGATAGTAATTTTATTATTCATTGTAGACAAATCCATTGATTTGATGAAAAATATTTATATGATTATCATTTTTCAATAAGCCAATATAAAATTAAAAAAAAAAACTTTTGTCTAGTTTTTTTTTCTGTCGTACTTTTTTCTTTCTTTTTACATTAAATGTGCATCTTTCAAAATTACAGGTAACTTTTCGTTTGTCTTGTTTATGTGTTGAGTGAAAAAAAAAGACATCAACACCAGATGTGTCTGTTAAATAAATGAAAACATCAATTGTCTTTTGTTTTCTTTTTTTTTTGTTTCGTTTAGTTGGTTATGAGTTGAATTTTCAAACAATCTTAATTTTTTTTTCTCCATATGATCGATTATTTTTATAACTAAAGAAAGAAAAAACGTTTGTATATGAAGACTTATATTGAATATTTAATGTTTTTGTTTTTTTTTTCTTTTGTATTAGATTATGGCTGAAGGAAGTGATATTCATGAAAGTCGAGCCAAATGGCCGATTAGTGCTGATGAATATGAACTTGAGGAAATAATCGGTAAAAGCTTTAATAAGAAAACTAAATTTTGTTTTTTTGTAAATTTGTAATATAATATTTAGGTCGAGGTGCTACAGCTGATGTTCAAGCTGCAACAGTAAAAAAAACCAAAGAACGTGTTGCAGTTAAACGTATTAATCTTGATCGATGTAATACATCCCTTGAAGAACTTTTAGTGAGTTATTAGTTTATAATTAATTTCAGTTTTTATATTAAGATGTATATCTGTATATATTAGAAAGAAATACAAGTAATGAGTCAATGTCAACATGAAAATGTCGTACGATTTTATACATCATTTGTTGTTGGAGAAGAATTATGGCTTATTATGAAATTATTAGATGGAGGTAAGTAGAGAAAAAATATTGTTATCTTTATGTTTTATGTTTAATTTAGGTTCATTACTTGATGTTATACGTTATACAATGCAACGTGGTAATTGTCGTAATGGTGTTCTTGATGAAGTTGCAATTGCAACTGTTTTACGAGAAGTCATTAAAGGTTTAGATTATTTTCATTCAAATGGACATATACACAGGTATAAGAAACAAATTATTATGAATTATTTTTATTTTGATGATTTTAATTTTCAAGAGATATTAAAGCTGGAAATATTTTATTGGGTACAGATGGAAGTGTTCAAATTGCTGATTTTGGTGTTAGTGCTTTCATTGCATCAGGTGGAGATATAACACGAGATAAACAAAGACATACATTTGTTGGTACACCTTGTTGGTAAGTATAAATCAAAGTTTACAAAATAGTCAGAAAAATGATCTGTAATGTTGCCTGATCGATAGAATATTTTAATTTGTTGCACAGATATTCTAACCATCGAAAAATAAAAAGAGTTGTGTTTATCTTTGTTATTACTAAAGAAAGTTTCATGAGAGATGAAATCGTTATCATCAATTATCTTGATTTGATTACTTTGTAGGATGGCACCTGAAGTTATGGAACAACAAGTAAGTTTGAGTTCTTTGATTCTCATATTTTTTTTCTATAATTTTGTTTTCTGATTTTAGCCGACAGGTTATGGTATGTTAAAGAACTCCATTATGTTTCTTTTATGTTCAATTTCTGTTTTTGCAATAGATACTAAAGCGGATATATGGTCATTTGGTATATTAGCAATTGAATTAGCAACGGGTACAGCTCCTTATCATAAATATCCTCCAATGAAAGTTAGTATTAATCTCTTACTTCAATTTTCTTTTTATTAAATTATTCCTTTAGGTTTTAATAATGACTTTACAAAATGAACCACCAACATTAGATATATGTGCAGAAGATCGTGATCAATATAAACAATATAGCAAAACTTTCAGGTTATTTTGTCAATCAATAGATTTTCTTAATTATTTATTTTGTTTTTTATTGAATTTTTTTTAGGAAACTAATTGAACAATGTTTACAAAAAAATCCTGCTGATCGTCCAACAGCTAAACAATTATTAAAACATGATTTTTTTAAAAAAGCTAAAGATCGTTCATATATAGCAAAACATTTAGCATTAAAATTTCAGGATAGAAAGAAAATGGAAGAAAAAACAGTTACGCGACGTAAACCAACATCTGTACGTGCTGTACGTGTTAGTGATAGTGGAGAATGGACATTTAGTAGTGGTTCAGATGATGATAATACAAGTGGAAATGAAACAACATCCAATGAGGATCCAGCAAATAAAATAAAACAATTAGAAAATCAAACAGTTAAAAATATTGGAGATTTAATTGAAAAAAATGATGCAGCAATAAAATCGGTAAAACAATATAAGTTTCATTTATATGAAAAAATATTTCTAAAAACTTTTATTGAAAATAATAATAAATAGAGTCACTCGTCGAATGAAGGAACTTCACAAGCGATTGCAGATGAAATTACTACTGGCGTTAAAGAACTATCGACTGATGATCATCAAGTACTCAAATTTACTCTAAGAATACGGTTAGTATAAGAATATAATTTTTATTGAAATCAATTATTTTAATATGTATTTAAGTATTAATCAATAGAAAATAGAAAATGTCACGAATTCTAATTAATGAGATATAGTTTTAAGTTTAATTGATGGAGTTCTATAAATAAGTTGTTTTTGTGTCAATTTAACAAACCTTTTAGGGTAATTATTGTAAGATTAAATCTTACGAATGAATTTTTCAAAATGATAAGGCATATTTCAGATGGATGATATCTCATTAGATGGACTTTATTTATTCCTAGAGAAAACCTAATATGATTCGTGTTCATTAGTCTTTCTTGTTAATTTATGACTATTTTTGGAAAGTCTTTTAATACTATATATTTATAATTCTCTTAATTTGTCGTCAGTATGAATAAAGTTGCTTTGAGATATGAAACTTTTAAGATATAGATCTGTCCTATGGATAGTGTATACAATTATGCATTTTTTAAAAGTTTCATATCTTGAAGAGATTTTGTTCAAAACTTCTAAATTTTTTTATGTAAGCTCGACTAGTTCAGTTCTTTATTGGTACAAAGTTTAAGATTGAGACTCGATAATACGAGTTTTCCGAATCTTTAGGCTTCTACAATAGAGACATATCAAAAATTTGATATTGAATAGGAATCCAAATTCTTTTAGGATTTCTATTACAACACTATGTAGTACCTATAAGCAAAAGTCACAGAAACCAGAAAGCGGATATCTGAATACGTTCGTTCATTTGTAATTCATTATGACTGAAGTAGATTTTGTAGAATGTAGTTTCCTGTTTTTGTTCTTTAATGAAATATTTAATATTGGTATTCGCAAATAGAAAATACTCTATAATCTGATACTTTTGTAATTAAATTGTGCTATTAAAAACTTTGTATGTACATATGCAAAATTTGAACCCAAAAATCGATATTTGATGATAATCTATGGGAAAGAACAGCATATATTATTCAAAAATTCATTATAATTCTCATAATTCAACAAAAAAAAACAAACATGAACTCAAATCATTTTTAAGCATTTTCAGATCTTAATAATATCTACTTGATGAAGTAAGATACCTCACAAAAGCAATCTATCTTCTTAATGAGCTTCCCGCATTAGATCACAAAAGTTTTAAGAATACTTTTTTCTTCTTAACATAAGCCACAAATAGATGAACATCGAAGAAAAGGCATTAAAAATTTCTTATTCTCAATTAAAACATTGATTGTATTTCATAGTTCGTAGAATAAGTCGGAAAATTAATAGTTTATTTATTCGATTTTGTTTTTATTGTTTAGAAATGCACAAGGGGATCTACATGATATTAAATTTGAATTTAATAAAGCAGCTGAAACTGTACCAGATGTCGTTTCAGAAATGGTATCAGCTAATTTAATTGATGAACGTGATGCGCAACCTGGTAAATATGTTTTGTTTTGTCAATACTTTAAATTATTTTCAATTTAATTCTAGTTACTTCTACAATGACAAAACTTGTAGAAAGTCCATCACTTAGCACTGCAACTTTTGCTTTAGTTTGTTTTCATTTTTTTTTTCTCTCAAATTTGAAATATTCTATTTACTTTTTTTTTTCTTTTTATTAGAGATCATATGTCGATCCTAGCCAACCACCTGATGATAAGTTACTTATTGGCTTTGCTCAACTTTCATTGAACACTTAAGAAAAATAAAACGGTGCTCTCTGGGTGTGTGCGCGTGAGTGTGTGTCTATTCGTAAAGCCAAGCTTTTCTATTCATATTCATATTCATATTTAAGTGAAATATTCTTTTATGTATTTAATGTCTGTTTGTGAGGTGCTCTCGTTCTCGTTATATTCTTCCTTCCTTCTCTCTTTTCCCGTCCCTCCCCTCTTTTTCTTTCTTTATGCCCACATATAATTAATCTACTAAAAACAAATGAATTTTTATCATCATTTAATATAAGTCGTTTGTCTAGCAGATAATTTCTACTCGAATCTCTCTCTCTCTCTGTGCATGTATGATCCTCTTTCACCTATTATTTCTTCATTGCTCTTTTTGTATCATAAATATGCACGATTCCTGTTTTTTTTCTCTTATTTGCTCGTATTATGTGTTACACGTTTATTTTTCACAAATGCTTCTTCTTCTTCTTCTTCTTCTTCTTCTTCAACTGCTTTAGTTCTTTCGTTTTTTTTTCTACCTATATCAGCGGCAGTCACGATTAATGCCTCCTTTTTTTTTTCTTTCAATCAAATAGGAAGATGGCAGAAAAAGAAAATATTAAAAAAGAAAGTTTCGTGTTTTTGTTGTTTTCAAACTTCACATGTTTGAATTGATGAATTACTTGAAATGGATGAAACATTTAAATTTGCTGATTGATTACCAATACTTTCTATTGGTTCAACATTAATTATTGTGGCTGTCGGATTTGTAGCCGTAGGTATTGATTCATTTTCAGTTACAAAAGATTCATATGGTGGAGGAAGAGAAGAAGTAACAGATACATCTTGAGGATGTTCATTTGTTGAATATGGTGGTGGTGGACTAGGAAAACTTCCAATATAATGTGAAGGTTGAAAACGAGAACGATCTCGTCTTGATCGTTGTTGAACAGGTGTTGATGATGGTGATGGTGATGATGATGATGATGATGAATTTGAACCTATACTGGATTCATCAGAATCATTTAATTGTTTTTTTTTATGACAAAATATAATTATGATTATTAATGTACATGGTACACTGAGTAATAATGCTAGACAAAGAGTTAATAATGGCCAAAACCATGGTGCATTGATTAAGGAACTATTTGATTCAACTTGAATATAAAAAACGAAATTGTAATGTTTTTTTTTCAAAGTATCATTTATTTTATTATCCTACCAGTTTGTGCATTGCTTAGAATTGGAAAAATGAAAAGCAGAAGAAGTAATATAAAATAATTCATTGTATTAATGTCTTTCGAATGCTTGATGTATTAAGTATTTTACAATTCTTTTTCTACTTTCTACTTGTAAGAAGCCATGAATATCCTCGCAGAGAAAAAAAATACCTTGTATAGCTTCACATTGAAAATTCTATCAGACCTGTTTACAATATAAGTTTGTATTTGAATAACATTACGTTTTTTTAAAAAGAAAAACACAAAATAAAATGAAAGAATCATGATATTCACTTGCATTTATTCATTTTGAATATTCATTTTCGAATTATTCTTTTTCTTTTATTTTTATTAATTGCTAATTAATATAAAATCAGAAAGAGAAGACGAAAGCAAAAAAACCGGAGAAATTTTCTTTTTTTTGTTTCTCGTGAAAAATCAACAAAAGAAAGAACCTATTAAACTATAATGTTTGAACAAGTGGTCTGGATAATAAATCTGGTCGAAGAAAATTAATTGAACAAGAAGATATATCAAAATATAGTTTTGATGATTGATATTCGTTGGTAGTTTCATTCATAGGATCTTTTTGTAACATCCACGAAGGTTTATCAAAATTGAAGAAATTATTTTGTTTTATAAGACTCGTATTTTTATAATCATGATTATCTAAATATTTAATAAAATAAAAATAAAAATAAAAATAATTTCTACTTAAGGCAATCCGAAAATACTGAGGAAGGTACTTTAGTTTCTTATAAAAAAAGTTTAAAGATACTTTCGCTTTAGATAGTCTGATAATAAAAATAATGTTCTATTTTTCTATGATATTTGATCATTCTTCAACTAATACCATAATAATAAAATTTCAACAAGGTATGTTTGGTTATATGTGATGATTACATTAGTTTGTATTGTCTTCGATATGTATTCTGTATTTCTTGTTTCGTCTAATGCATAGCTATCCATATATATTACTGTGTACTAAAATTAGTGGGGATGAAAAACAATCAAAATACAGAAACAAATAGGTTGTGCTTCGTTTTCAACCTCTCATCGACCTTGACGAAACTATTTCAACCATCTTTCAACTGTCTTAAGAGAAGGAGTTTCGTCATTACAGGCCGAACATAATTCATCGAGAGCGCACTTTAATGTAGAAGTAACAATTTTCTCTTATCCATCTAAAACAGAGATAAACAGTGTCAACGTTTGGCCTAACGTTATTTACTTAAATACAGGCTAATAAACTCCAGATACAAACAAGAGATATGTCCCTATATATATATATGTACTCGGTTATGCATTAAAAGAGAGGAAAAGAACCATAAAAGTACATATCGACAACAATATGACCTAATGTAGCTATCACATATAATCAAACATGCCTTATTGAAATTTTATTATTATAGTATTAATTGAATAATGATCAAATATCATAGAAAAATAGAGCATTAATTTTTCTATCAGATTGCATAGAGGAAAAGTTTCTTTAAATTTTTTTTTATAAAGAATTTAAAATACCTTCGGCACTACTTTTGAATTGCCTTGAGTATATTAAGTCTTGTTTTTGCATACTTGAATAACAAATTGACGAATGACAAAATTTTGCTCTTGGATCTAATGTTTTCATTAATGTTGAATGTGTTAATGCACTCATATGAATAGCTGTTAATATTGATATTGTTGAACCGAGTAGAACTAAACTTGTTAATGCAAGATATTCAAAAATTCGAGGTAACATTTTAAAACAAAGATTATAAAATTGAATTGAATCTTCAATTTCAATTTTTTCACTGGAAGTTTTATTTAAATTTTTCATTATTTGATTTTTAAATAATGAAAAAAAATTTTTATATTCATCATTTGATACATGTAAATTCCAATCTAATGATAATAAAACTTGTCGTTCAATTAAATTAATACGCTCAATAGTAATACCAGTTAATTCAGCTAATTCAGAATTAAATAATTGTTCGTCTTCACCTTCATCAATAAGATATTTATCAGCAATTAATGTTGCTATTAAATATAATTCTTTTGTTGTTAAATTATTAATTTTTGCTAATGCCGATGATGAACGAAGTGAACGTAAACGTTTCATATATAAAAGACTTAAGACAAAGACACATGATGGTAAATTTCGACTTCTAGAAATATATTTTTTTTTTGCTTTTAGAATGATTTTTATAAAAAAAAATATCTATGTAACATACTTGCAAACGCTTAAAGCTAAGGCACAGTCGATATTAAGTAGATGTTGTAATTGTTCAGCTGATCCGTCTTATATAAAAAATAAAAAGATAATTAAGTAATAGTTTATCAAAATTAGACTCTTTTGCAAAACAAAGATCATCCTTAATAATGGAAGATTATAGATTTTCCTAAAGTCTTTTTTTTTGATACTCAAAGAATTTTAGCATCTAAAAGCTCTACTTTTGAGTAAAATATTTTCTTATTTTTCCTAATAAAAAAACATGTTTTTCGACACGTATTTTCTAAAAACATCTGTTTGAATATCAGAAAAGTTTTACAAGAATCGTTGATTGTCTAGGTAAATGTGCACAAAAAAAATTGTCCGAAATAGAAACTCATGGACTTTTCAAATCTTATATAATTTACTAATGTTCGAAAATACAAAGTATCTAAATGCATAGTATTACAATATTATTTCAGGTTCTATTTGTTTTTTTTTTAATATGTACGTATGAAATGTCACTGTTCTATTGACTTAAATATTCTTCTATGATAATTGAAATGTTATTTTATTTGCTTTCGATTATTTAGTAAAAAAAAAAAACATTGACATTTAATTTAAAAAAAAAATAGTAGCTTAATCATTGAAAAGAAAAAAAGAAAACAATCATGCTACTAATTATTAAATAAAACTTGAAAGCAAAAACACCTTTTTTTTTTGTTCAATTTCGAGTGTAGAGAAAAATATACAATATATTTAGAATTAATTTTATATCTGTACAGATATTTCTAAATGATTTTTCTTACCGAAATCAGACAAAACAATATCATCAAGAATAAGATCATAATAAAGTGCACTTTGATAATCGGTATCTTTTTCACGAAAAATCTAAATTATAAATAATATTATTTAAAATAATCATCTTCTTGAAAAATAAATAAAAAACTTACCATGATAATCAATTTTTCGATTAAAATAATAATAAATCTGAAAGATATTTATATAATTTAATGTTTGAATCCAAAAAAAAAAACATAAGATTAAAAATTTTTGATAGAAATAGTTAAGATAAAAACACATACAAAGTGAATTTTGTTCTTAAATAATTTTCTGAATAGATTCACAGTAAATATCTGTAATTTGTCATTATCTAAAGCTAACATTTTAGAATATTTGTAGAAAATATAATATTGACTTTTTCGATTTATCACAGTACAAGATAATTCAAGAGTTATTTTTACGGAAACAAAATCTTGAGTATCTCTACTAGGTTTTAATCAAATACATTGTGTTATTTTGTTTTTCTACTGATAATCAAGGATTATTCATAACTTGTAAGAAAAATGCTGAAAAAGTTTAGTCGTCCAATATTTATTTTGACATTTGTATAGATTAATAATCTTAATGAGTGTCACACGGCAAAAAAACAAACTACTTAATTAGAAATGCAATGTTCACATTGCACGGTCTATTTAATTAAGAATGCACTTTCAATAACTACTGTTAAGATTTATAATGAAGTGGATAAACGCGTGACAAATGTAAAATGAACACTAATGAAGCCGATAAGTCTGTAAAAAAATCTTCAACGAGATCACTTTCCAGATTTATGTTAAATGACGTCAGTGATGCAACAAAAAAGACCATCTTCACTGTCCTTCTACTGTTGTATGTCTCAACTAGTGATACCAAAGAATGCTGGATCAATATACTACTCTTCATCACTGCTATATATATATATCTATGTTTATTTAATAGAACTATTTCGTCTTAATTAGTGTCAGCTGAACGTTTTAGTAATAAAAAATTGAATTTATTTATCATTTACAAAATTTTCTATAGATTTTCTTAACTATTTAAAGCATCATTTGTTTGTATTCATATCAAAAGTAATACTTCGAGACGTCAATTTTTATATGAACTATGATTAATCATTTGTTAGAATTGGAAAAAGCTAATCGATTAGATCAAACTATGTCGGAGATACTGATGTTTGTTTTTTCTTCACAGACAACTAACTATTGAGCTACTTTAGATTTTATTTTCGAAGATTTTCAGAAATTTTATTTCTATCAGAAATCATGCGAAAAATTTTCATCTCTCTCCTATTGAAAAATGAGTATTTTATAATCATTCATCTATTTAACCATTAACAGATCCTGCAGCTTCGATTTATCATAATCGAAAAATACTTTCTGTCAATTATTTATATTTTCGTGGTAATTTTGGACAAAAAATAGTGTTGCGAGATGAATAAGATTAAGACAGATCGTCAGACTTTTTAGCACTACAAGAATTAAATCATTTTCTGCGAGAATTTTCAAAGTTTCTGTCAAATTTTCAGTCTCTCCATTGAAATAAAAAAAAATATCGACAACTCTAATCATTACTTATTCTGTTGTTCTTTCTCATACTTACCAATAAATGTAGCAATAAATTTATATTTATGTATATAGTTATATGAAAAACTTTCAATGATTTTATAGAACTAATCTACGTTCATAAACAGCTATTAATGATTTACTATTCATATGATAGACATATTATCCATTGATACTTTCCCGCCATGATTGTTCGTTTCTTAAAAATTTATTCTTTATCTAAAAGAAAAAAAAAATAGTTTTTATTCTGATAATGTTATATTAAGAGCAAAAAACTCGAAGTTCTTTAAATTAAATTGAAGATGACAAGAGAAAAAAGATTAAGGTTCAAGCTTTTGTTATATTACAGTCAGATGTTTTTTTCTTTCTATTTAATTTCTTCGAGCTGCTTCAAGTATACGTAAGATTTCAATAAATAAACGTGTTATATCAAGATAAATTTGTATAGCTGCATCAATATATTCTTCTGGTGAAGTTTTACGCATTAT